CCTTGTTGCGTGGTACTGTGATTCCGGCGGAGATTCACGCGGTCTGCGGCCGCTTCTGCTGGTGGCAATGCCTTGGATTCTCACAATTCCGTGCTGGGCGCATCACGTTCATTGAATAGTCTGATTACTCTCCGTTTCCCCTGATTCTCTGCACAGATCAATCTTGTCTTTAAAGACTACCTGGAGTCACCTGTTATTGTTGCCATTCTGGAAGATATGCTCTTGGTTATCAACTGGTTCTCGTCCTATAAACGAGCTCTTTACATGCTACTTGAAGAGCAACAAGCCATCAACAACATCGACCACCCAGGGAGAAATGGGAGCGGTTGAAATGCTTTGTTCGTGCTGCAATCACACATTGGGGTACACACGCACTCTCCTCCCGGGGTGTCATTGAACTGCAGATGGCTCTGATTGACCTTGTCAATCATCGGCATGAGGAACTCAGACTCACTGGAGGCTCAGACGAGAAAGCAACTGATGCCGCTGAGAAAGTTATCAAGCTTATAGACTCAGGTTGCACCGGACTATTCTGGAGTGGTGTTCACCGGTGAGCTTGATTGATCATGTCATTCCATCCTAACTGAAACCTTAACAGCGTCAACACGTATCTTGCACCGCTCGCCATTGCTGCAAATGTCACGCAAGCTTCTAACACACGTCTCGATCATGTTGTCATTACTCTAGCGCTCCTCCATCATCAGTATCTGACGCTCCCGGCATTTCCATACACTAACGACAATCATACCATCTGCGCTAGCCTGAAGAATCAATGGACCGCCCTCAAACGCGATTAGGACTTATACATTGTGACGGTGTTTTTGAATCCATATCTCCGTGCTTTTTACTTCAACCGCAACATCCATTCACTGAACCGACTGGGCTTGTACAGCGTTGTCCGTACAGTCTACAAGCGTGTATTCAACATCAAAACGGACAACGAGCTCCCCGGGGAACTCTTCTGACAATATCTTGACTACTCCAATGATCATTTCCCATTCACAGTAAGCGACATGGCATTGGTCGGGTTCAAGCACCTATTCAAAGGAGTACGTTTTTCGCGGCCTTTGATTGAGCCCGTTCTCATTGTCAGCTTCAAGGATGATACTCTTTCTCTCATGAGCGCTATCTGGCGGGGCCCCGGAGGCCCTCTTTCGGATCTGGCGCAGCGTGTTATGGCGATGGTTGCCAACTCCAGAGCCAATGAGCGCGCAATCCGGCACCTCAGTTACCACCGCCATCACCCGGTTGCACCCCCGCGGGGGGGGGGGGGGAGTTTGGTCCATTTGGGGGCGGGGGCATATGTGGGGGTCAGCAGGGGGGGTGCAGGGGGGTGCCAGTATATATCATGTGATTTTACATTAGGAGCGGGCAGATGGGCGCGAAAAAAAAATTGAATCACATGACGCACCAAATGGGCGGGATGGCAGGGTAAAAATCACGTGATGCGCTGCATGAATATCATCAAAATGCTGGCAGGGGTTGGCAGGGGCATTGGCGGGGGTGCTACTACCCCCCCGCACACCATGGTGGGCAGTGGGCGCATTATCACGTAACTTTTGGGGCACCTTTTATGCACCATTTGGCATGATTTTAAAGGTACTGCTTGATACATTGCATGCTGTGGCAGACAATAGGCGCATAATCATGTGATTTTCCGCCAAAAAAAAATGGGAGCCTCCCCAAATCATCCCACTATCATTTCCATAGGTAAATACACTAGTTAAGCATGAATTTGAGCTTAGAAAGCCCAAAATGCACCTTGCACAATGGGATTGGTGATGCACTGGATCCCGTCATTTGGCGGGGGCTGGGGCCGGGGGGCCGGGGGGCCCGCTGCATGGTTGCCCACAGGAGCAGGGGCAGGGGTGCATTGCATCAAATTTTGACATATCTATTGTTGCTGTAGTCATAGAATGCAACTAAATTATCCTTTATTTTGCCGGGAGTTTGCAGGCTGTGTCTCAGAATGGTCTGCAGCTATATCTGTCTCACTCCCTGATGATTCAGCAGGGGCTGGGATATCAAAACTGTACAATATCACTAAAATTGTTTGGCTTAGCTTGGGGCTCTAACATATACAACTTAGTTCATTTTTGCATGGTCTGCTCAAGCTGTGAGGTCAAACTGAATATTTGAAAAATGCGCAACTTGATTTGTTTGGCAAATCCCCCAAGTATGTTCTCCAGGTACAACCAGAATCATCAACAAGAAATGGCTAATGTTTCTTTTCCCTGTCTGTTTGCTTCAGGTAGTCTGTCTGCTTTCAAAATTTCCTCTTCATTTGCAGCATATTCAGTGCAGGTGTCATGATTGTTGATTTCTGGATTTCATATTTCTTGTATACACACCCTTTAGGTCCTTTACTGGCTATGATAATACTATATACTCGAATAATGGATTGAGCCGGACTTTTATCAACTTGATTCTTGTGGGGGTTGGGGCGGGGTCAACCGCGGGGGGTGCCGCGAGGGGTGTCACAGGGGGTGCACGAGCCTCTGCCAGCCTACCCAATGTGGATCAACTACAGAATCGCTTTCCAAAGCTCCTGTACTGCAACCCAAGTGACTTCCAGGTTACCATTACCCAATCCCAGTGACACAACTTGCCTGCTCTTGTATCTGGGTGACAATTGATTTTATGAGCTTGAGTGAGTATGTGCACTTTTTAGTGGGAAAGGGAGGCCATGTGGCAAGGGGTAGGGCACCGAAACATTGTCAAATACCATATTGAACATGACTGGTGGCTTACATCTCTTTGAACCGGCCCATATCTCATGTTTATCTATCAAGACCCTATTTTTCGGACCTGTCAGGGGAACCCCTGCTTTCGTCCGATCAACATGGGATCTGGCATGTGACTGTGCACATGCCATCTGTCAAGCATCACGTGCTTCGGTCCGGGCTTCCATGCCAAGCACGTCCACATGACCTTCTGGCCCGGGCCTCCATTGTTCCGAGGGGCCGATGAAATGCTGAGGGCGTGCTCAAGGATGAATCAACGGTGTGATAAGCTGATCCAACTATAAACACGTCACACTCCTATAAACCAGCTTCTCAGTGTGTGTGATGGGTGCGAGGGCTTCGGGTGGACAGAACACCAGATCCAGTCTAATGACTCGATGCGAATACTATGCGACGCGGTGACGGAGTCGGCGCGCAAGAATCTATATAGCAAGAACAAGGTGTCTCCACCAATGTCTCCTATACAACCAAAAACCAACAACCAACAACCAACACAAGTCAGATCTTAGTACAGAGTACTTTGATCCCTTGTAGCGACAGCTTCCAAAAGGTGACACTAAAACCTAACAACTAAGTTGACGCACTGCCAACTTGTCGTGTAGAACCCAAATATATCAAGTCGACGCACTGCCAACTATGATACAACCCAAAAACCCGAGCACAACTAGGAACGACGCACTGCCGCCTAGAGGTGTGGAACAAAGCTACCCGAGCACAACTAGGAGCAACGCACTGTCGCCTAGAAGTGTGGAAAGATCACAAGCAAAAGACTTATCGCGGCGCGACAAGTCTCTACCCAAACAACAAGAGCGGTGAATCCAACTCTGCTACGATCTCAAACTCAAACTGAAACAATCACAGTAGATACAAATGCTCGCGTCGAGACACTTGTTGCTACCAGGCAGGGATGGTAGTGAACTTTCTTAAGATTCAAGTCACGCAAACTCAGACAGGTTCTCGAAAGAGAAACTGAAAATGAGATGAACAAATTGAAATCCGGGGGAAAGCTTCTGAATACAGAGAAACCGTGCTACTTTTATACTGCGTACAGGAGCTTAGTAATTCTACTGCACAACTAGCTAGTAGCTACACTATCTCAGATGGTATATTCTACTTTTGGTGAACTGCGTGGACGATCGAATAGCCCATGTGTAGTTCATGTGGTGTGTTTCATTGTAGAACCACCAACGCGTCATAGTTTGGAATATGGCGTGTTGGATTGGCTCGACAGGTAGTCTTGGCAAGTGGGTCCAATGTGGACGCTCCAACGAACCTTGTGGTCGTCTAGTACCAGGCGACCGACGGAGACGGACAGGCGACCGACGGAGACGGACAGGCACACGGAGCTCATCCGTTGAGGGGATGCAGAACCGTGGACCAGGTGGTAGGCCGATCACTCGTGTGCTCAGAAGCCGTCACGGTAGATGCCAATATTCCTGGGTGTCCATGTGTATCCGCGACAAGTAGTTGTCGCGTGACAGCTGTCAAAGCTACTAATTGCCCAAAGATGAACTTGTCGTTTCAAGATTTCTGTGAATCTTGTAGCTACAGGTTCATCTCTTTTGTGTATGTCTGGAGCCAATGTTGCACTCGTAGTCCTGAGACGTCAGGACTTATCGCGGCGGTTGATCTAGCGTCCTTAACGCTACTAGTCCGAAACCTTGTCAGGGCTTCTAAGACCGATCCACAGTAGTGATCCGAGTACCTTGCAATCACCGATGCTATCCACAGCCACCGACTAAGCACTAGATCCATAAGTCCTACTGAACGCGCTGCTGGTATACGCGACACGATACACCGAGTAGGTATAAGGTTTTACTCTGTAAAAGCGCAAAAATACGCCTCTACAGAGCTGGTGCAGAGTGCGCCTCGTAGCCAGCTTATCACCGGCTCCCATTGTTCTCCCCGATCCGGCCCCCTTATTGTTCTCTGGCCCATTGTCATGCGCTTCCCATTGTGCTTAGTCACCTATTGTTCTCTAGGCTATACATAGTGGGCCCTGACAAGGAGAGTCCCCAACTCGGTTTCTCTTTGGACTCTCCCTTGTCAGGTTTGCCAGTCTCCTGTATTAGTCGATCCCCTTATCTGACGCCTTTGGACTCTCCCTTGTCAGGACTCTGAGATCGGGCCTCGAGGTTGCTCTTACAGCAGAAACTGAGTTCCTTGGGATAACTGGGCAAGCTTGCGAAGACTTGTCGACAGCGTTAACTGCTCCTCACTTCCAACCTTGTCCCCTCCTCCCCCTTCGTGATCACTATGTCCTACATGGAGGAAGAGGACAGTGGCCCCTCCCCCGAGCATCGACCAGTTAATCTGGAGGAAGCCATGCAGAGGATGGAAGGCCTCCTCACCAACTTCCTTGTTTCACAACAACAGCCTCCCCCTGCCCCTGCCCCTGCTCCGCCTCCGGCAGCGGGTCCAGGTGTACAAGCCGGCCAACAAGCCAACCCCCGACCCCTTATCCGCCCTAACCCTCCATTCACGTTCGACGGGGATCGCACCCAAGGCAAGACCTTCCTACCCGCGGTCAAGCAATACTGGCGCCTTCTGCCTGAGGCTTTCCACGAGAACGGGGTTGTATCAGAGGAACGGGTGGTGCGTTTTGCCCTTTCTTACATGTCCAAGGATTCGGCGGCTGCCTGGTCGGAACACATGTCGGAGCGCTCCCTTTTCCCCTTCCCCACCTGGAACTCCTTTGTCGCCAAATTCAAGCTCCGGTTCGTTGAGGAAAACGAGCAAGATCACGCTCTGGCACGACTCGAGACCCACACCTACTACATGGGCTCCCACGATGTGTTCAAATACACGGACGAATTCGACGACCTTCTCGACCTGGCGGGGTACTCCGACAACTTGGTCAAGGTCACCAAGTACCGGGCGGGTCTAGACCCAAGGATCAATCAGGCCATCACAACCTCAGGCAACCCACCCAGCCTCACAAACTACTCGGAATGGCGCACTCGTGCATTCCGCCAGTACAACGCCGAGGTAGCGGCCCGAGCCGCGCAAGGCCAGATGTTCCCCCCGCCTCGTGCTCCTCCCCCTGCGGCCCCCCGTCCTCGTCTCGTGGCTCCCCCGGTTGCCGCGCTGGTCCTTGCCCCCAGACCAGCCCCAGTTGCTCTTCCACCGGGCATCCCCATGGAGATCGACCGAACCAGGGCCCGCAACGGCGTTTGCCGCACCTGCTTCCGCTGCAGAAGTCCTGGACACTTGGCCCGGGACTGCCCGACCCCAGCCGATGTCCGACACGTGGACGTCCTGGATGAAGTGATCAATCAGCTAGGAAGCGACCTATTGGCGGAACTGGTGGCCCGGTTAGCAATTACGGCGGCGGTGGAAGAACATGAAGCAGAGGTCGCCCACAAGCTAGAGCAGGGTTTTCTCCCCCGCGACAAGTGAATAGTACGCCCTCGTTCGCCTCATGTAATTGTTTTGAATGTCTGTATGATGAATGCGATCTTCTTCCCCCCACAAACGAAACGATAGACGTACCCCCTGCCCCCCGTTTGACCCCATTGGTCCGCAAGGAAAAGTGGGAACGAAAACTCCCTCAGCGCTACATGGTCGCGGCCGCTCCAGGCGCCAACTCCCTGCAGCTCCCCTTGGAAATCCAGTCCACCAATAATGCCGTGCAGCTCTCCCTCAGCGGATTGGTTGACTGCGGCGCCACCTCGGACTTTATTGACTCTTCTTACGTGTCCGACAACCGACTTCCGGTCCGGCAGCTCTCCCAGCCTATCCCAGTCTACAACGTGGACGGCACGCCAAACGAAGCCGGCTCCATTCGGCAAGTTGCTGACGTGGTCCTTCGTTACCAAGGACACAGTGAACGGGTCCAGCTCGCGGTCACTCGGCTTGGCAAGCAGAAGCTAATCCTCGGCTACTCCTGGCTTCGGAAGCACAACCCGGAAATCAATTGGGACACGCAAGAAGTGAAGATGAGCCGCTGCCCTTTGGGCTGTTTGACCTGCACCAAAGAACTCCATCAAGAGAGGCGGATAGCCCGGATTTCGTCCCGAGCGCTTCGATCAGTTTGGCAGGGCTCTGCCCCCTCCATCTGTGTTGTTGACATGGAAGACCACGAGGACGAGGCAATGCCACCACTCCAAGAAGACAATGGAGAAGACTCGGATGACAAAGAAGACTGTCTAGAAACCGGTGACTGTATCTTCTACACCCGTTTCAACCCTTCTGAAGACATCCGAGCCACTAGCACCGTCTCCCAGCGTCTTGCTGAGGCGTTTGCCAAGAACTCTGCCCCCCCTCGGGATTCCATACCCGAGTGGGCGCGTGAGTTTGAGGATGTTTTCAGCAAGGAATCCTTCAATAACCTCCCGGAACGCCGCCCTTGGGACCACGCTATTGAACTGGTTCCCGACGCAAAGCCGACAAACTGCAAGGTCTATCCGATCTCACCTTTGGAGCAGAAGCAGCTAGACACCTTCATCGAGGAGGGCGTGGCCACCGGCCGGATCCGACCCTCCAAGTCCCCCATGGCGTTCCCCGTCTTCTTTGTCAAGAAGAAAGACGGCAGTTTACGGTTTGTCCAGGATTACCGGGCACTGAACGCAATGACAGTGAAGAACCGCTATCTGCTACCCCTGATCAATGACCTCATCAACAAGCTCAAGGGAGCCCGGTTCTTCACCAAGCTCGACGTCCGCTGGGGCTTCAACAATGTGCGGATCCGAGAAGGAGACGAGTGGAAGGCAGCGTTTTGCACCAACTGTGGGCTGTTCGAGCCGTTGGTGATGTATTTCGGCCTCACCAACTCTCCCGCGACGTTCCAGACCATGATGAATGACATCTTGCAGGACCTCATCCTCTCTGGCGACGTTATGGTGTACCTGGACGACATCCTCATTGTGCACTCAGACATCCTTCTGCATCATCGTATCGTCAACAAGGTCCTTCGACGCCTCCGCAAGAATAAGCTCTACTTGCGAGCCGAGAAGTGCGAATTCAAGATGCCCTCCATCAAGTACCTCGGTGTTATCATCTCTCACAACCACGTCGAGATGGACCCCGTCAAGGTGGCCGGTGTGGCCGAGTGGTCAGCCCCCTCCAACAAAAAGGAAGTGCAGCAGTTCCTGGGATTCACAAACTTCTATCGGCGGTTTATCCGGGATTTCTCGCACGTCGCGCGGCCACTCTTCGATCTCACAAAGAAGGATGCGCCTTGGACTTGGGGTGACAACGAGTCTGCCTCGTTCCAGGCCTTGAAGGATGTGGTCACCTCTACACCGGTTCTTCTCCTCCCAGACTCTTCTCGTCCTTATCGTCTCGAGGCTGACAGCTCCGATTTTGCCACAGGAGCCGTCATCTCGCAGCAGTCCGCCTCAGACGACAAGTGGCACCCGGTTGCCTTCTTCTCCAAGAGCCTCAACGACGTCCAGCGCAACTATGAGATCCACGACAAGGAGATGCTGGCAATTGTGCGTGCGCTGGAGGAGTGGCGGCACTTCCTTGAAGGCGCGAAACACCCGGTGGAGATCTGGACCGACCACAAGAACCTGGAGTACTTCCGCAAGGCCCAGAACCTCAATTGTCGGCAAGCCCGCTGGTCGCTCTACCTGTCCCGCTTCGACTTCGCACTGCACCACCAACCCAGCCGACTCATGGGACGACCAGATGCACTTTCCCGCCGTCCGGACCATGGAGCCCCCTCGGACAACACGGACATCACCCTACTGAAGCCGGACCTGTTTGTGGTGCGAGCACTCGAGGGACTTTCCGTCTCTGGCCTGGAAGCCCCGCTTGTCTGTGACATTCGGGAATCGCTTTCCAGTGACCCTGACCTTGAGGAAGCGGTTGCGCTCGTAGCACGACAGCTTCTAAAAGGGATGAAGGGAGTCCGCTCTGCAGTCACAGCAGAGTGGCGTGTCCAGGACGGCCTGCTCTACTTCCGTGGGAAACTTGTGGTTCCGCGCGACAAGGACATTCGACGACGCATCCTCGAGCAGCACCACGACACCCGCGTTGCAGGACATTCCAGCTGCTTCAAGACCCTCGAGCTGATCTCTCGGAACTACTGGTGGCCCCAGCTCTCACGACACGTTGGTCGCTACGTGGCCACCTGTGACTTATGCTGCCGGACTAAGGCCCTCAGACAACTTCCCACTGGAGAGCTCCACCCCACGGAAGTCCCCACAGAGCGCTGGGAGTCGGTATCAGTGGATTTCATCGTGGAGTTGCCTGAGGCACACGGGTACGACGCCATCATGGTGGTTGTTGACATGCTGGGCAAGCGTGCCCACTTCATTGAGTGCCACACTCGCCTCTCAGCTGAAGGAATGGCTCGGTTGTTCTACAAACACGTCTGGCGACACCACGGGCTGCCGACCAAGTACCTCTCAGACCGCGGCCCCCAGTTTGCGGCGGACTTCACGCAGGAGCTGTGGAAGCTGGTCGGGGTCTCCCCTGCTATGTCTACCGCTTACCACCCACAGACCGATGGCCAGACCGAGCGGGTCAACCAGGAACTAGAACAGTACCTGCGGATCTTCACAAGCTACAAGCAGGACGACTGGGACGAGCTCTTGCCTGCAGCTGAGTTTGCTTACAATAACCACGTTCACTCCTCTACCCAGCAGGTCCCTTTCATGACGGACACGGGGCGCTTACCACGCATGGGATTTGAGCCTACGGAGCAATGGTCCACACGAGCAGAGTCTGCAAACAAGTTCCTTGATCGGGTTGCATCAGGTGTAACCGAAGCCAAGTCGGCATTGGTGAAGGCAAAAGACGAGTACAAGAGGTACTATGACCGACGAAGGACCCCCGCTCCCGACATCAAGGTTGGCAGTCGAGTCTGGCTCGATGCTTCTGACATCACAACGACGCGACCCTCTCATGGCCTCTCGCACCGACGCTTAGGTCCCTTCAAGGTCACCCAAGTCGTGGGTCGAGGCGCGTACAAACTGGCCCTCCCCACCAGCCTCTCTCGTCTCCACCCCGTTTTCCCCGTGGTCAAGCTCCAGTTGGCCGAAGACGACCCATTCCCCACACGTCCACACCACGATGAACCGCCCCCGGTCCTAGGACAAGGTGAAGGAGAGGAGTGGGAAGTGGAAGAGGTCTTGGACGCAAAGATGCGTTATCAAAGTGTATGGTTCCGTGTGCGGTGGAAGGGCTACGATCCGTCCCATGATCAGTGGGTCAAGCATTCTGATCTCTTCGCTGACGACGCGGTGGCAGCATTTTACCGCAAGTACCCTGGGAAATCGCGTGTCATTGCAGCAGCTATATTTGACTTGCTGCCCTTTCAGGACTCGTCGACCCCTAACCGTGCCTTGCGTCGAGGCACCGCAATCAAGAGGGGGGGTGATGTCAGGGGAACCCCTGCTTTCGTCCGATCAACATGGGATCTGGCATGTGACCGTGCACGTGCCATCTGTCAAGCATCACGTGCTTCGGTCCGGGCTTCCCTGCCAAGCACGTCCACATGACCTTCTGGCCCGGGCCTCCATTGTTCCGAGGGGCCGGCTCCCATTGTTCTCCCCGATCCGGCCCCCTTATTGTTCTCTGGCCCATTGTCATACAACCTGAGTGACTTTGAAGGGACCCAGACGCCGATGAGAAAGGCCAGGCGACGGTCTTGTTGTCGTGATGTCTGAGGCGTCAAGCCAAACCCGACTGCCGACTCTGATGTCGGGGGAGGGGGTCCTTCGGCGGTCATAGTACCTCTTGAATTCCTCCTTTGCCTTCACCAAGGCTGCTTTTGCTTCCGTCACGCCTGAAGCAACCCGGTCTAAGAACTCATTGGCAGACTCTGCTCGCGCGGATCACTGCTGAGTCGGTTCAAATCCCATGCGTGGTAGGTGTCCCGTGTCTGTCATGAAGGGCACCTGCTGCATAGAGGAGTGGATGTGGTTGTTGTAAGCAAACTCAGCCGCAGGCAGGAGGTCGTCCCAGTCGTCTTGCTTGTAGCTGGTGAAGATACAAAGGAATTGCTCCAGCTCCTGGTTCACCCGCTCGGTCTGGCCATCGGTCTGAGGGTGGTAGGCAGTGGATGTGGCCGGGGATACGCCGACCAATTTCCACAGCTCCTGAGTGAAGTCCGCCACAAACTGAGGGCCACGGTCCGAGACGTACTTGACTGGCAGTCCGTGGTGCCGCCAGACGTGCTTGTAGAACAACCGGGCCATCCCCTCAGCTGAAAGTTGAGTGTGGCACTCAATGAAATGCGCACGCTTGCCTAACATGTCCACGACCACCATGATGGCGTCGTATCTGTGTGCCTCAGGCAGCTTCACGATGAAGTCCACTGACACCGTCTCCCAACGTTCTGAAGGAACCTCTGTTGGATGAAGTTCTCCAGTCGGCAGACGTCGGAGTGCCTTTGTTCGGCAGCACAGGTCGCAGGTGGCCACGTAGCGACCCACGTGTCGTGAGAGCTGGGGCCACCAGTAGTTCCAAGAGACTAGCTCGAGCGTCTTGAAGCGGCCGGCATGCCCCGCAACGCGGGTGTCGTGGTGCTGCTCAAGAATGCGGCGTCAAAGGTCCTTGTCGCGCGGAACCACCAGTTTCCCACGAAAGTAGAGCAGTCCGTCCTGGACGCGCCACTCTGCTGTAACAGCGGAGCGGGCTCCCTTCATCCCCTTTAGAAGCTGTCGCGCTAAAAGCGTGACCGCTTCCTCAAGGTCAGGGTCACCGGAAAGCGAATCCCGAATGTCACGGACAAGAGGTGCTTCCGGGCCAGAAACGGACAGTCCCTCGAGCGCCCGTACATGGAAGAGCTCTGGTTCGAGCAGAGTCACGTCAGTGTTGTCCGAGGCGTGTCCGTGGTCCGGTCGGCGAGAGAGGGTGTCCGGTCGTCCCATGAGTCGGCCAGGTTGATGGTGCAGCGTGAAGTCGAAGCGCGACAGAGGTACAAAGACCAGCGAGCCTGCCGACGGTTGAGGTTCTGGGCCTTGCGGAAGTACTCTAGGTTCTTGTGGTCAGTCCAGATCTCTACGGGGTGTTCGGTGCCTTCGAGGAAATGCCGCCACTCTTCCAGTGCGCGTACAATCGCGAGCATCTCCTTGTCGTGGATCTCGTAGTTGCACTGGACGTCGTTGAGACTCTTGGATAAGAAGGCAACCGGGGGCCACTTGTTGTTCGAGGCAGACTGCTGAGAGATGACGGCTCCTGTGGCAAAATCGGAGCTGTCAGCCTCGAGACGGTAAGGACGCGATGAGTCTGGAAGGAGAAGAACCGGTGTGGAGGTAACCGCATCCTTCAAGGCCTGGAGCGAAGTGGACTCATTGTCACCCCAAGACCATGGCACATCCTTCTTGGTAAGATCGAAGAGTGGTTGCGCAATGTGCGAGAAGTCCCGGATAAACCTCCGATAGAAGTTAGTGAACCCCAGGAACTGTTGCACTTCCTTCTTGTTGGAGGGAGCTGGCCATTCAGCTACTCCGGCCACCTTGACGGGGTCCATCTCGACGTGGTTGTGAGAGATTATCACGCCGAGGTACTTGATGGAGGACATTTCAAACTCGCACTTCTCGGCCCGCAAGTAGAGCTTGTTCTTGCGGAGGCGTCAAAGTACCTCATTGACGATACGGCGGTGGAGGAGGACGTCCGAGTGCGCTGAAATGCTGAGGGCGTGCTCAAGGATGAACCAACTGTGAGAAGAGCTGCTCCAAACTACAAGACACAATCACACTCTGCTGATCAGCTTCTCAGTGTGTGATAGGTGCGAGGGCTTCGGGTGGACAGAACACCAGATACGATCTAATAACTCGACGCGAAAACTATGCTACGCGGTGACGGAGTCGGCGCGCAAGAATCTATATAGCAAGAACTAGGTGTCTCCACCAATGTCTCCTATACAACCAAAATCCAACAACCAACAACCAACAACCAACACAAGTCAGATCTCAGTACGAAGTACTTTGAGCCCTTGTAGCGACAGCGTCCAAAAGGTGACACCAAACCTAGCAACTAAGCCGACGCACTGCCAACTTGTTGTGTAGAACCCAAAATATATCAAGTCGACACACTGCCAACTATGATACGACCAAAAACCCGAGCACAACTAGGAACGACGCACTGCCGCCTAGAGGTGTGGAACCAAAAACCCGAGCACAACCAGAAACGACGCACTGCCGTCTGGAGGTGTGGAACGAAGCTACCCGAGCACAACTAGGAACGACGCACTGCCGCCTAGAAGTGTGGAACTAACACAAGCAAGAGACTTGTCGCGGCGCAATAGTCTCTACCCAAATCACAAGAGCGGCGAATCCGACTCTGCTACGATCTCATAACTCTAAACTCAAACAAATCACAGTAGATACAAATGCTCGCGTTGAGACACTTGTCGCTACCGGGCAGGGATGGTGGTGAACTTTCTTAAGGCTCAAATCACGCAAGCTCAATCAGGTTCTCGGAGAGAAGCTAAAATGAGATGAACAAAATGTAATCCGGGGGAAAGCTTTTTTAATACAGAGAAACCGTGCTACTTTTATACTGTGTACAGGAGCTTAGTAATTCTACTATACAACTAGCTAGTAGCTACGCTATCTCAGATGGTATATTCTACTTTTGGTGAACTGCGTGGACGATCGAATAGCCCATGTGCAGTTCATGTGGTATGTTTTATTGTAGAACCACCAACGCATCATAGTTTGGAATATAGCGTGTTGGATTGGCTCGACAGGTAGTCTTGGCAAGTGGGTCCAATGTGGACGCTCCAACGAGCCTTGTGGACGTCTAGCACCGGACGACCGACGGAGACGGACAGGCACACGGAGCTCATCCGTTGAGGGGATGCAGAACCGTGGGCCAGGTGGTAGGCCGATCACTCGTGTGCTCAGAAGCCGTCACGGTAGATGCCGATATTCCTGGGTGTCCATGTGTATCCGCGACAAGTAGTTGTCGCGTGGCAGCTGTCAAAGCTACTAAATGCCCAAAGAGAACTTGTCGTTTCAAGATTTCGGTAAATCTTGTAGCTACAAGTTCATCCCTTTTGTATATGTCTGGTGACAACGTCGTGCTCGTAGTCCTGAGACGTCAGGACTTGTCGCGTCGGTTGATCTAGTGTCCTTAACGCTACTAGTCCGAAACCTTGTATGGGCTTCTAAGACCGATCCACAGTAGTGATCCAAGTGCCTTGCAATCACTGATGCTATCCACAGCCACCGACTAGGCACTAGATCCATAAGTCCTACTGAACGCGCTGCTGGTATACGCGACACGATACACCGAGTAGGTATAAGGTTTTACTCTGTAAAAGCGCAAAAATACGCCTCTACAGAGCTGGTGCAGAGCGCGCCTCGTAGCCAGCTTATCAGCGCAATGAGGATGTTGTCCAGGTACACCATGACGTCGCCAGAGAGGATGAGATCCTGAAGAATGTCATTCATCATAGTCTGGAACGTCGCAGGGGAGTTGGTGAGGCCAAAATACATCACCAGAGGCTCGAAAAGCCCGCGGTTGGTGTGAAACACTGCCTTCCACTCGTCTCCTTCCCGTATCCGCACATTGTTAAAGCCCCATTGAATGTCGAGTTTGGTGAAGAACCGGGCTCCCTTGAGCTTGTTGATGAGGTTGTTGATCAGAGGAAGGGGGTATTCATTCTTCACTGTCATTGCGTTCAGTGCCCGGTAATCCTGGACAAACCATAAACTGCCATCCTCCTTCTTGAGGAAGAAGACAGGGGACGACATGGGGGATTTAGAGGGTCGGATCCTGCCCGTGGCCACGCCTTCTTCGATGAAAGCGTCGAGTTGCTTCTGCTCTAGCGGGGAGATCGGTGAAATGCTGAGGGCGTGCTCACAAGTGAATCTACTATGAAAGTAAACCCAAATATAAACACGTTCACACTCCTCGTAATCAGCTTCTCAGTGTGTGAAAGATGCGAGGGCTTCGGGGTGGACAGAGCACCAGTATCACAACTCTCAATAGATGCAGATCCAATAGTCGCGGAGACAAAGTCGACGACAAGAATATATATATAGCAAACAATGGTATCTCAACCAATATCTTCTATACAAACACAACCAACACTAATCCAATCCACAAACAACAATATAACAAGTCAGAACTTAATACGAAGTATTAAGATCCCTTGTAGCGACAGCGTCTAGATGGTGACGCAAAGCCCAAATATCAAGTCGACGCACTGCCAACCGATACGACCAATATACTGAGTCGACGCACTGCCAACTAGTAAACCTAGATGTCAAGTCGACGCACTGCCAACTGACACAACCAAAAGTACTGAGTCGACGCACTGCCAACTAGTAATCCAAAATGCCGCGTCGACGCACTGCCAACTAACAGCCAATATCCAATGTCCAAAACCCGAGCACAACTTGTTGACGCACTGCCAAGCAAGAAGTGTGGAACCAAAGTTCTCAAGTCGACGCACTGCCAACTGACCAAAACAACCCGAGCACAACTAGTCGACGCACTGCCAAGCTAGAGGTGTGGAACGGTCTCAACAAAGCCCGAAGGCGACGACACTAAATGCCGCGACTAAATCAGATGCGGCGAATCCGACTTTCTGATGTCTCAACTCAAACTCAAATCACAGTAGCTACAAGTGCTCAGGGAGCAACTCGTCGCGACCGGGCAGGGGTGGCAGAACTTCTTAGGGTGGAATCACGCGGCACGCAAATTGTACAAAACAATCTGATATGAGAGTGATTCACAGTCCGGGGGAAAGCTTTTTAATACAAAGAAACGTCGTGCTACTTATACTGTCTACGACGATGCTTAGTAAAGTCCTGTACAACTGCATAGTAGCTACGCTATCTAAGATCGGTTGCCTTTTAGGGTAATTGAAAAGTTGAACGATCGGACAGGACCTGAGTGATCAGGACCCCGCCCCATTGTCCATATGATACTTTTGATGTGGGCCAACTCACCGCGTCATACTTTTGGAATACAACGTGTTGGATTGGCCAACGGGTATGTCTTGGCATGTGAGACCAACGTGGGCGCCCCAAGAAGCCGTATGGCCCTAGGCACGCCAGTCGTCCCTCACATGGTTCGGTTCACGGATCTAGCCGTGCCGATTTTAGTGTGTTTAGGTATGGGCGCGACTCGCCGTGACACTTGGGAGTGTCACCGCGACGCGTCCACAACGTCCCGTGATCGAATGGATCCTGACATGTGACAAGTCGTCGTCGTGGCATGATCTGAGGAAACGTCCAACTCAAAACCGGGAGTTGCCGTGACAAGATGGTTTAAGTCTCGTAACGCCAAGTCCTGTCCAGTAGTAGTTCTATTATTGAGAACGTCGCGCATTGCTCAACCCTTCAGCCCAAGTTCCCATCTGCAGAGAATGACCCTTTTCGAGAAGTCGACGCAACGACAGATCCCTTTCTGGGGAATGGTCGCGGTCCAAGCGTTCGTCACTAATGGCCCTGAGCCTGGTATGGACTCATAAGACCAATTCCACAGTAGTGGTCTGACTGCCTTGCTATCGTCGACACTATCCACAGTCGTCGACTGGGCAGTAGACCCATAAGTCCTACTGAGCGCAACACTGTCAACCGCGACACGATACACCGAGTGGTTCAAGAGTAAACTCTGTAAAAAGCGCAAAAATACGCCCTTACAGAGTTGGTGCAGAGCGCGTCTGGTAGCCAGCCTATCATCGGATAGACCTTGCAGTTCGTTGGCTTCGAGTCGGGGACAAGTTTGATGGCGTGGTCCCATGGCCATCGTTCTGGGAGGTTGTCGAAGGATTCCTTGCTGAAGACGTCTTCAAACTCACGCGCCCACTCTGGGATGGAGTCACAAGGAGGCGCGGAGTTCTTGGCAAACGCTTCGGCGAGACGCTGGGAGACGGTGCTGGTGGCTCGGACGTCTTCAGAGGGGTTGAAACGGGTGTAAAAGATACGGTCACCGGTCTCCAGACAGTCCTCTTTGTCGTCATCGTCTTCTCCATCGTCCTTCTGCAGCGCTGGCATGGCCTCGTCCTCGTGATCTTCTATGTCAATTGCGCAGATGGAGGGTGCTGGTCCTTGGCGAGCGGTTCGGAGCGCGCGTGCTGAGATCCTTGCGATGCGCCTCTCCTGTCGGAGCTCTTCTGTGCAAGTCGAGCATCCTGAGGGGCAGCGGCTCATTTTTACCTCTTGGGTGTCCCAGTTGATTTCGGGGTTGTGCTTCCGAAGCCACGAGTAGCCGAGGATCAGCTTCTGCTTGCCTGGCCGGGTGACAGCAAGCTGAACTCGCTCGCTATGGCCTTGGTAGCGCAGAACCACATCTGCAACTTCGCGGATTGAGCCAGCTTCGTTCGGCGTGCCGTCCACGTTGTACACCGGGATTGGCTGGGAGAGTTGCTGGACCGGTAGTCGGTTGTCAGACACATAAGCGGAGTCGATGAAGTCCGAGGTGGCGCCACAGTCGACTAACCCTGAGAGGGAGAGCTGCACCGCGTTGTCCGTAGATTGGATCTCCAGGGGTAGGTGCAGGGAGTTGGCGCCTGGGGAGGCCGCGACCACGTAGCGGTGAGGGAGTTTTCGTTCCCACTTTTCCTTGCGGACCAGTGAGATCGAACGGGGGGCAGGGGGTACGTCTATCATTTCGTTTGCAGAGGGAAGTTGATTGCATTCATCATACAGGCATTCAAAACAATTACGTGATGCGAACGAGGGCGTACTATTCACTCGTCGCGGGGGAGAAAACCCTGCTCCAACTTGTTGGCAACCTCCGCTTTGTGATCTGCAACAGCTGCTGTCGTAGCCAGTCGGGCAACGAGCTCAGACAACAGGTCACCTCCCAACTGGGCAATGACCTCGTTGAGGATGTTGGCGTGACGAATGTCGGCCGAGGTGGGGCAGTCTCGGGCGAAGTGGCCGGGGCTGCCGCACCGGAAGCAGGTGCGACAGACATCGCCTCGCGCTTGGGTCCTGTCAATCTCCATGGGGATCCCGGGTGGAAGGGCAGGTGGAGCTGGTCGAACAACCAGGGGTGGGGCCGCCGCTGGGGGAGCCGGTACCCGAGGTCGTGGGGCAGCAGGAGGGGGGAACCGAGGGGGAAACGTCTGGCCTCTGGCGGTGCGGGCAGCGACCTCCGCATTGTACTGGCGGAAGGCGCGGGTGCGCCACTCGGTGTAGTTCATCAGTCCGGGCGGATTGCCAGAGGTCGTGATTGCCTGGTTGATCCTTGGGTCGAGGCCCGCCCTGTACTTGGTGACCTTGACTAGATTGTCCGAGTAGCCGGCGAGGTCGAGGAGGTCGTCGAACTCGTCGGTGTTGTCAGGGGAACCCCTTCTTTCGTCCGATCACCATGGGATCTGGCATGTGATCACGCGCGTGCCATCTGTCAAGTGTCATGCGCTTCGGTCCGGACTTCCATGCCAAGCACGACCACATGACCCTCTGGCCCGGGCCCCCATTGTTCCGACGGTCCGGCTCCCATTGTTCTCCCCGATCCGGCCCTTATTGTTCCCTGGCCCATTGTCCTGTGATTCCCATTGTGCTTGGTCACCCATTGTTCTCTGTAGGCTGTATATAGTAGGCCCTGACAGGGAGAGTCCCCAACTCGGTTTCTCTTTGGACTCTCCCTCGTCAGGTTTGCCAGTTCTGTGTATTAGTCGATCCCTTTATCTGACGCTTTGGACTCTCCCTCGTCAGGACTCAGAGATCGGGCCTCGAGGTTGCCCTTACAGCAGAAACCGAGTTTTTAGGGATAACTGGACAAGCTTGCGGAGACCGTCGACAGCGTTATTCGCTTCTCACTTCCAACCTTATCCCCTCCTCCCCCTCTGCGACTAGCATGTCCCACATGGAAGAAGAGGATGATGCCTCCCACCCCCAACAAAGGCTTGCGAATCTGGAGGAAGCCATGCAACGGATGGAGGGACTCCTCCACAACCTCTTAATTGCGCAGCAACAACCCCCTGCCCCTGCCCCTGCTCCGCCTCCGGCAGTGGGTCCAGGTGTTTTCACGGGCCAATCGGCCAATCCACGCCCCCTCATCCGTCCCAACCCCCCCTTTGCGTTCGATGGGGATCGCACTCAAGGCAAGACGTTCCTGCACGCCGTCAAGCAGTACTGGCGCCTCCTGCCTGAAGCCTTCCACGAGAACGGGGTAGTATCAGAGGAACGGGTGGTACGTTTTGCCCTTTCCTACATGTCTAAGGACTCGGCAGCGGCCTGGTCTGAGCGCATGTCGGAGCTCAACCTCTTCCCCTTCCCGACCTGGAACTCCTTCGTGGCCAAATTCAAGCTCCGGTTCGTCGAGGAAAACGAGCAGGACCACGCCTTGGCGCAACTGGAGACGCACACCGACTACATGGGCTCCCGGGACGTCTTCAAGTACACCGACGAGTTCGACGACCTCCTCGACCTCGCCGGCTACTCGGACAATCTAGTCAAGGTCACCAAGTACAGGGCGGGCCTCGACCCAAGGATCAACCAGGCAATCACGACCTCTGGCAATCCGCCCGGACTGATGAACTACACCGAGTGGCGCACCCGCGCCTTCCGCCAGTACAATGCGGAGGTCGCTGCCCGCACCGCCAGAGGCCAGACGTTTCCCCCTCGGTTCCCCCCTCCTGCTGCCCCACGACCTCGGGTACCGGCTCCCCCAGCGGCGGCCCCACCCCTGGTTGTTCGACCAGCTCCACCTGCCCTTCCACCCGGGATCCCCATGGAGATTGACAGGACCCAAGCGCGAGGCGATGTCTGTCGCACCTGCTTCCGGTGCGGCAGCCCCGGCCACTTCGCCCGAGACTGCCCCACCTCGGCCGACATTCGTCACGCCAACATCCTCAACGAGGTCATTGCCCAGTTGGGAGGTGACCTGTTGTCTGAGCTCGTTGCCCGACTGGCTACGACAGCAGCTGTTGCAGATCACAAAGCGGAGGTTGCCAACAAGTTGGAGCAGGGTTTTCTCCCCCGCGACGAGTGAATAGTACGCCCTCGTTCGCATCACGTAATTGTTTTGAATGCCTGTATGATGAATGCAATCAACTTCCCTCTGCAAACGAAATGATAGACGTACCCCCTGCCCCCCGTTCGATCTCACTGGTCCGCAAGGAAAAGTGGGAACGAAAACTCCCTCACCGCTACGTGGTCGCGGCCTCCCCAGGCGCCAACTCCCTGCACCTACCCCTGGAGATCCAATCTACGGACAACGCGGTGCAGCTCTCCCTCTCAGGGTTAGTCGACTGTGGCGCCACCTCGGACTTCATCGACTCCGCTTATGTGTCTGACAACCGACTACCGGTCCAGCAACTCTCCCAGCCAATCCCGGTGTACAACGTGGACGGCACGCCGAACGAAGCTGGCTCAATCCGCGAAGTTGCAGATGTGGTTCTGCGCTACCAAGGCCATAGCGAGCGAGTTCAGCTTGCTGTCACCCGGCCAGGCAAGCAGAAGCTGATCCTCGGCTACTCGTGGCTTCGGAAGCACAACCCCGAAATCAACTGGGACACCCAAGAGGTAAAAATGAGCCGCTGCCCCTCAGGATGCTCGACTTGCACAGAAGAGCTCCGACAGGAGAGGCGCATCGCAAGGATCTCAGCACGCGCGCTCCGAACCGCTCGCCAAGGACCAGCACCCTCCATCTGCGCAATTGACATAGAAGATCACGAGGACGAGGCCATGCCAGCGCTGCAGAAGGACGATGGAGAAGACGATGACGACAAAGAGGACTGTCTGGAGACCGGTGACCGTATCTTTTACACCCGTTTCAACCCCTCTGAAGACGTCCGAGCCACCAGCACCGTCTCCCAGCGTCTCGCCGAAGCGTTTGCCAAGAACTCCGCGCCTCCTTGTGACTCCATCCCAGAGTGGGCGCGTGAGTTTGAAGACGTCTTCAGCAAGGAATCCTTCGACAACCTCCCAGAACGATGGCCATGGGACCACGCCATCAAACTTGTCCCCGACTCGAAGCCAACGAACTGCAAGGTCTATCCGATGATAGGCTGGCTACCAGACGCGCTCTGCACCAACTCTGTAAGGGCGTATTTTTGCGCTTTTTACAGAGTTTACTCTTGAACCACTCGGTGTATCGTGTCGCGGTTGACAGTGTTGCGCTCAGTAGGACTTATGGGTCTACTGCCCAGTCGACGACTGTGGATAGTGTCGACGATAGCAAGGCAGTCAGACCACTACTGTGGAATTGGTCTTATGAGTCCATACCAGGCTCAGGGCCATTAGTGACGAACGCTTGGACCGCGACCATTCCCCAGAAAGGGATCTGTCGTTGCGTCGACTTCTCGAAAAGGGTCATTCTCTGCAGATGGGAACTTGGGCTGAAGGGTTGAGCAATGCGCGACGTTCTCAATAATAGAACTACTACTGGACAGGACTTGGCGTTACGAGACTTAAACCATCTTGTCACGGCAACTCCCGGTTTTGAGTTGGACGTTTCCTCAGATCATGCCACGACGACGACTTGTCACATGTCAGGATCCATTCGATCACGGGACGTTGTGGACGCGTCGCGGTGACACTCCCAAGTGTCACGGCGAGTCGCGCCCATACCTAAACACACTAAAATCGGCACGGCTAGATCCGTGAACCGAACCATGTGAGGGACGACTGGCGTGCCTAGGGCCATACGGCTTCTTGGGGCGCCCACGTTGGTCTCACATGCCAAGACATACCCGTTGGCCAATCCAACACGTTGTATTCCAAAAGTATGACGCGGTGAGTTGGCCCACATCAAAAGTATCATATGGACAATGGGGCGGGGTCCTGATCACTCAGGTCCTGTCCGATCGTTCAACTTTTCAATTACCCTAAAAGGCAACCGATCTTAGATAGCGTAGCTACTATGCAGTTGTACAGGACTTTACTAAGCATCGTCGTAGACAGTATAAGTAGCACGACGTTTCTTTGTATTAAAAAGCTTTCCCCCGGACTGTGAATCACTCTCATATCAGATTGTTTTGTACAATTTGCGTGCCGCGTGATTCCACCCTAAGAAGTTCTGCCACCCCTGCCCGGTCGCGACGAGTTGCTCCCTGAGCACTTGTAGCTACTGTGATTTGAGTTTGAGTTGAGACATCAGAAAGTCGGATTCGCCGCATCTGATTTAGTCGCGGCATTTAGTGTCGTCGCCTTCGGGCTTTGTTGAGACCGTTCCACACCTCTAGCTTGGCAGTGCGTCGACTAGTTGTGCTCGGGTTGTTTTGGTCAGTTGGCAGTGCGTCGACTTGAGAACTTTGGTTCCACACTTCTTGCTTGGCAGTGCGTCAACAAGTTGTGCTCGGGTTTTGGACATTGGATATTGGCTGTTAGTTGGCAGTGCGTCGACGCGGCATTTTGGATTACTAGTTGGCAGTGCGTCGACTCAGTACTTTTGGTTGTGTCAGTTGGCAGTGCGTCGACTTGACATCTAGGTTTACTAGTTGGCAGTGCGTCGACTCAGTATATTGGTCGTATCGGTTGGCAGTGCGTCGACTTGATATTTGGGCTTTGCGTCACCATCTAGACGCTGTCGCTACAAGGGATCTTAATACTTCGTATTAAGTTCTGACTTGTTATATTGTTGTTTGTGGATTGGATTAGTGTTGGTTGTGTTTGTATAGAAGATATTGGTTGAGATACCATTGTTTGCTATATATATATTCTTGTCGTCGACTTTGTCTCCGCGACTATTGGATCTGCATCTATTGAGAGTTGTGATACTGGTGCTCTGTCCACCCCGAAGCCCTCGCATCTTTCACACACTGAGAAGCTGATTACGAGGAGTGTGAACGTGTTTATATTTGGGTTTACTTTCATAGTAGATTCACTTGTGAGCACGCCCTCAGCATTTCACCGATCTCCCCGCTAGAGCAGAAGCAACTCGACGCTTTCATCGAAGAAGGCGTGGCCACGGGCAGGATCCGACCCTCTAAATCCCCCATGTCGTCCCCTGTCTTCTTCCTCAAGAAGGAGGATGGCAGTTTATGGTTTGTCCAGGATTACCGGGCACTGAACGCAATGACAGTGAAGAATGAATACCCCCTTCCTCTGATCAACAACCTCATCAACAAGCTCAAGGGAGCCCGGTTCTTCACCAAACTCGACATTCAATGGGGCTTTAACAATGTGCGGATACGGGAAGGAGACGAGTGGAAGGCAGTGTTTCACACCAACCGCGGGCTTTTCGAGCCTCTGGTGA